TTATCATTGGCCACACTAAGGTTTTATAACTAATATCAACGATCCAGGATGGTTTACAAAATTTTCTTTTTCCTTCGAAGATGAGGCTGCCAAATTAATTGTTATCTTAATTAATTATTTCCGAGTATAGATGTTTTGAGAAAATCACAAAATATTTACAAGTTTTACGTGGATTTTCTATATGTAGCAAGAAGCAATATCATGTGGAGACCAAAAGAAACGCAAATTAATAACTCACTGGCTTGTTATGGATTCCAAGCTGAGACCAAGTTATCATCTCCAGCAACTCCTCGAAGGTTCCATACCCTCCTTCATGAACACAGAGAATAAAAGGGAGCAGTCAATAGCCAACAATCTTGTTGAGGCATATATGTTCTTGTCTTTTCAACATTGAAAGTAATGCTTGAAGGCTTGTGAAAATGTGATCGTCAAATACCAGGAAGAGCAATGAAAGCATCAGCTCTCCTAGCCATCTCTGCCTTCCTTTCATGCATATCGGATACAATCAATACTTCTCCAACAGTTTCACCTGAAATCTGAGAAGAAATCATTCATGCATGTGCATGAGAGGAGAGGGTGATGTGAGAGGAGATGAAGCCTCACATACCTCAATTGGTACAAGAGCTGTTGGTATAATTCTATCCAAAAAGAAACAAACAAATTGAAGTGAATTAGAGTATAATGACTACATGATGATATTCATGTATGCAGACACACAAAGATTAGCATAATAGAACAGAAAGAAAAAGATTTCTTACCCTAAAACATGACTCCCGCCATCATAAACTGTTTGAGAAACAAGCCCCATCAATCCAACACTCCCTCCTCCATACACTAAATCCATCTTCCTCTCAACCTGATAATTCCCTTATGCATTAAAAAAAACCCTCCAAATTCTGATCAAAAGTTGAAAGAAAGAGGGTGAGGATTAGTATACTAACCAGTTGTCTTCCAAGATCAAGGGCTGCATCACTGAATATCTTTTTATTCCCTGACTTGCTTCCACAAAAGACACAAACCCTTGTGAACTTTCCCATGATTAGCTTCTCTATTCACTTCCAAAGAATATATACTAGGATTGATCACACTATACAGAAGTCCCCTAACTAACAAGTCTAGACATTTTTGTGTAATATATATGTAGTCTAAAGAAGTGCTTAAAAAATCAAGAGTAAATTATTGTTCAGTCCTTAGGTTTTCATCACAATTGTAACTTAGTCCTTCATATTTGAAAACCTACACTTGAGTAGTCTTTCAGCTCTTATTGACCATTTTTTTATTTAAAACACCTATTTGGAATTTTTCTTAATCCTATGTCCGATGTGCCATTTGACAATTTAAGCTCTTGGAGAAGAATCAATATTATGGTAGGGTTTTAGAGAATGGTCAACAAGAGTCAAGGGACTAATTTATAGATTTTTAAACATAAAAGACCGAGTTATAGCTACATTCAAAACCCAGGAACTAAGAGTAATCCACTAATTAATGAGTCTTTTTTTTTGTCCAGGTTAGGCCAATATTCACACGTGAGCCATGATGGATGCTTCATGCCCCCCACGATGAAAAATAATGCAAGTGTACTTGAGTCAAAGCTGATTCCAGCTTTCTTTCTAATCTTTTGTTTTGTATATCCGGTGGGTGCACCAATAATATATACTGTTCATTTCTTAACATTATAGAGATGTTCATCCTACTTTAGATTGAAAAATCCAATTTGGGTTTATGTTTGGTGGATAGTTTGTATCACAGAAACAAAGTCATATCGTATTTCTGTTTTTAAATTTATTGTTTCGAGATATAAAATATAAAAATAGTCAGGAAAAATCTGTTTTTAAAGGATAAAAATAATCTCTAAAACTATTTCAGAGATAATTTTATTTAATATATTTATTTTTATCCTTTTAATTAAATATGTTTCTATCATTTATATATTTATCCTTTTTATTTTAAGATATTAATCAAACATGATTGTACGTACGGCCCTATATTGTGCTGGTTGAACTTTGAAAATTTAACATCAACTTTTACTAGGGTAAGTATAATTTCTTGTCTTTACCATCCATGTTTTTTCCAAGATTTCTTCTTGAGGAGGGATCAACTTGGAATCATTGAGAAATTCACGGAAAGTATGGTTAAAGTAATTAACCTTTTATCCCTAATTTCTTGTCTTTTCAAACTTCATCAAGAATGTAATCAAAATTATGCAAGCTATACTTCATCAATTATGGATGTTTTGATGTTGACACGAATATTTTCACTGATGAGTAGAAATTTTAGTGTTGAAGAACAGGTAGCGAATGGGAGGAGGCTGCGCGGCATTTGACTTTGAGGAGGTTATTTCATGTAATAACAATTTATTGATTTAATTAGTTCAAGTTTTCTATTTCCTTTCTTACAAGAATTTGTTTTAAAAATGTTGTCTTATCGTAAAAAAAATTAAACTAAATAAGGTTATGTCAAAAAGAAGCAACAAAAATGGTTGTCAACATCCTTATCTTTCTTTTATGAAGAGGACTTGGTTTTAATCTTCTTTTTCTTCTTCTTTTCTATTCTATTTCCTTTGAATTCTTCAATGGCATCGATCAGCCTGCTTAGCCCTTATTTAATGATCATCTATAGTATGTTGAACCTTCCTCTGATCTCGAGAACACAAATGTACGTAATCACAATTCATTATTTAATAGAAACAATTAAATTACATCATCACAATCATTACTTAATTATTAATATAAAGAATCTCTTCTTAATCTTCTTTTAATGCAATTGAAGTGGAATCTTTTTATATAAAAAAATTCTAACAATGAGGATGTTTTTAAATCGATTTTCATGATTACAGATTAATTAAGTGCTTCTCGATCGGATCTTTAATTGGCTGCTTATCACTAATTTGTTCCTCCACAAACACGCACAAGAGATGATATATATATATATATATATATAAGAAAATAAATGATTGGAGAAGAGAGTGAGATCCTCTTATGCCAGCAAAATCTCTTGAATATAACAGATGCTATTTGTTGGTGTTCTTGGAAATGGGTTCCACACCTATAGTGAAGCAAAGCTGACAAGCAAAAAGATCAGCTTGGTATTAAGAAGGGTCCAAGCGTGCATTAAAGATGATGATGCTTTAGTGGCCACAGTAAACCCACCACTGATTTACTGGGAAGATATTGCATGCTCTATTGCTTGCTAATCATGGCAATAGCCATGCTATTTGGTGAACTACAAGCTAGCCTTGATATTTTAAAGTCTATATCATTAATTTCTTCTTCTAGCTAGGTTTGGTGTTGTTGTTCCTATATATATATATATATATATCATGAAAAATTAAGGATCGCTAAAGCTATATATATATATATATATATATATATATATATATATATATCATGAAAAATTAAGGATCGCTAAAGATGTGCTTTTCGGACCTCCTTTCTGCGCATATCGTCGACCAATCTTGAACTAGAAGGAAGGCTATTTTCATGCTCAAAACCTTCTTTACCTTGCGGGTTAATTTGGTGTTAGTTCAGCTGAAGAACATTATGTGTAATTAAAGAGGATGTAAGGGACAGTTTTACATCTGTTGTGGTTGTCGCATCTGGATTCTATAAGAACTATATATAAGTGAGATAGAACAACATAGGATGTCAACCAAGGTAATAATGGAACTGTTTGTTACACATTTATAAAGGGATGTAGGCTACCAACAAACGTTAGATTATTGTTTTAAGATTGAAGAGATGTAAACAATTGAAATATAAAAAAAATATGTTTTTTTTTTAATCTTTTATGTGTTTTAAAATGATAAAAATTTCTTTCAAAACTGTTTCATAAATAAGTTTATTTTTATATCTGTATCTTTTTTCTCTCCAATTAATATGTATATTGGTTTTCTCTGTTTCATAGCACCAACTAGCCCAAAAACTAGTAGATGAACAATGTAAGGTTATATCATGGTACTCCAGTGACTCTCATTGACTACTATATTGTCTTGTTAAAACATCTTGTTTGGTGGGTTTTTTTCTTTTTCTTTTACAAGCTCCCATTATATTGGTTTTTATCGAAGAATTTAAATTTTCAAATATTTACCTTGGAATTTTAAGAAGAAACAACTATAGTAGTACGTCAAGCATGAGTGAACGGACTATGTTCTATGTGTTTTCAAATGCTTAGGACTAATTTATAATCAGATTCAAAACCGGGACCAAAATATAATACACTCAACATAAAGTTACTTAAGTGCTTTACTTTTACTATTAGGCACATGATTTCCAGAAAACGCGTCCATTTTAAGCTTAATTATATGTAGTAATATGTGGCATACAATTTGTTTGGTGGTGTCCGATTGTTAACTGAAAAAAATGTATTCTAAAAGTAAAGAAAATTGTCGATTATCCGCCCCAAAAGTATTTCCTATAATTGATTGTTCATGAACCAGTTCAAGTAACTTCAAGGGTCAAAATCATACCACAACGTTGTCGATAATTAAGGTAGAAAAAAGGTAGTTTACTTTAAACAAGAATCCACTTCCCCCTGTTAGCAGATTTGATGGCGGTCATGTGTTTCAGAAAATAAGACGCTGGTTTCTGTGTTCTCTAATTTGTCTCTGTTAGGCAATTGCAGCATGTGACTGTTACGGCTCTTTTAACTTCTTGTATACATTGAACATGGCATGTGTGCCAATCTTTTTGCTAATTTTTATGATTGCCACTTTAATTGATTAGGGGCATGGAGCCGACAAAGAATTGCAGTTAGGGGCCATCGAAGCCTTAAGATCCAGAGAGTCAAAATGATGAGCATCACCACAGTGTTCTACAGGAACTTTTACAAGAACCAACAACAGGATGTCAAACTCGGGTTGGTGGTTTGGTAAATTGCAGCACGCCATCTTGAATGTCAACCCAACATTTGTATATTTACTTGCGATTCACGGTTAAGAAGATTGGACTCAGGATTTTCAACTTGGACTAGTAATTATGGAACCATAGAAAGAACACAGAAGATGTCTACTATCAAACAGCAGAAACACTTGCTATGATGCAATACATGCTACCAAAGACTCCACGAGGGGCTCACAAGTTGAGGTGCTGAATCCTTCATGCTCATCAACAAATATAATCAAACGGTTATCTTTTCTAGCACAAGAGAAAGTATCCACCATTTGTCAAGAATCTCCATGAGAAACTTACTTTAGATATCAGATGTAGGGCTCTGCCAACATCCAGCAAAAAAGACAAAAAACATCGTTCTTTAAAAGGAAAATACTTAACATGCCACCTAACAACATCAGACACACAATGTTTCTCACAGACTATGGAATGGCAACTGAGTTGAAGCAAATTTTTCCCAAAGCAGAATTCCTGCAAAAACAGCTAAAGTTAAAGATGGCAAGTTTAAAGCTTCGTGACTAACAAAAGAAATCATATCTGTTTACCTCAGCAGACTTTGGAATGATCTGATAAAAGGCCTACCAAATCATGGCTGCCTTTTAATGTGTAGCAAACGCAAAGATATAAGTAACAACATACTGCCTTCACAGATCTTTGGGTCTATAACTGAAGCCTGAAGACCAACGACTTCTGCATAATGACCAGAAAACTAAGATGAAAAAATTATGATCATCATAAGTTTCCAAGCATTCATCTCACTGTATTTAACTATAATGGCAGTCCATACAATTTTTGCTCAGACATTTATTCTCGACAAATAAAAACTGTGTTGCTATGACATCTAAAAGTAATGACATGTAAGCATATATAAGCAAAATAAGCAGCAAACATTTGCTAAAAATAACAAGGAAAAACCAAAGGATTCATCTACATAACCAAAACATCAAAAAGATGATTACCTCCTATGGAATTGCATGGGAAGAAAGCCTCATCTTTGACTACATCGACACAGGAGTCATATAGCTGAGTAGCCCATGTCTCAAATGTACAAAAGGATTTATGTCTAAATTCGCAAGGTTTTGATGAGAGAATCCATAACCAATGAGATCAATTGAATATACTCTTATGTGATTTTGCAAGAACTGGGATAGTTTTTTTCCAATGGTCAGTGCAAGGAAGAAGTGAGTTGTCAGTCATGACCTATATATATTAAGTTCAAAAACAAAGAGATTAGAGAAGAAAACTAATACAAAATCATCACCAAGTATATCACGAGACATGCATTATTCTGTTAAATTTCTTTCTTTCCTATGGAAGCCTTTGGATGTCAAGATAACCTTAGAAGCTGGTATCTCTATTAAAGCAGAATTGCAAACAATCCTTTTATAATACGAGTTCTGAATCATGGTTTATAGCAGCTCTGTTCTGGAATGAATAGGATTGCAATAGCTAAAAAGGAGTTATTTTTCAAGATCAGGCATTTACAATACACTAGATGTGCCTCCTTGTATGAGAATATGACTCCAGTTTCTCAATCTCGATCGTAGCAGCTCTCTGGCAGTTACTTCATGATAAACACTCTTTTGACCTCAAAATCCCTATTCTATATCTATGCTAAATGTTTACAGACTTACACGGTAAAATAAGTTCAGCCCCTTTGCTTACATCATATGCTAGAGAAGCATATTCAAGACCAAACAGAAACATAACTTCAGTTTTATTGCCGTATTGTGTGCAAGACATAGAATACTGACACTTATTAGGCTCTGAAAAGGTGTACCAGCCAGCATTAGCTGTTACCATAGCAACAATTCCATATAAATGTTCAGTCAACCTGATGGGAACCAAGGATTTCCAAGATGTCCAAGAATTCAATTTGAAATCACAAACAGAAACTGACAGGAATAGGCTCTCTACTCAAGGAATTCTGAGTTCTGAATGAGTTATCTAGCTTAGATTAGGGTTATTTTTATTTGTGTTGCAATTTTCTTTTTATCAGAATTCTAGTTAGGCTATAATGTAAGGAAGGCGGAGGAAGTGTCCTACAAGAAGGAAAGTCAAGAATAAAAAAGCTTTATATGTGGCAGAAACAGGCTTGAAGTCAGCAACTCAACCTGACAGAACTTGATCTATAAGTTGAGGAGTTCTAGGTTTTGACTTGAGTTATGAGTTTTAATTTGTTAAAACTATCTTAAATTATATTGGGATTATTTTATTAGTTATTTTCCAGTAAGTAGAATCCTTCTTACGCTAGGCTAGGATATAAGACTATATAAATAGCCAAAAGTGTATTGAACATTCAATCAAGAATTAAGCACTAAGAAAATACCAAACACCTTAAGAAACTTTTATGAATATATTATCATGTATGGTCTACATAGTTATTTGAACCACGAAAAGATTATGCATGGCAATGCCTTGAGATTTTTGCAACCAAGAATAGGAAGACAAAGAGCGAGGTTGAATCCATGCTTCCAAAAGTTCTGGCATAAAATCAGAATACTAAAAACATAAAAGACTAGAAAGTTTAAGTCTAGACATGAATAAAATATAACCCAATCCCATAGCATGCCAAGTTAAAAACAGAATGAAACTTATGAAACGAGAAGATAAATGAAACACGACAATATGGAGAATTTGGTACATTTAATACCAATATCATTTAGTTGTGTGCTAAGAAGAAGCAAAATGTCGATGATGTTTACCTGTTTGCTCCAAAACCATGAGCTAAAACTAGAGCAGGGCCACTGTTCCCAGCATTGTGATAGCGAATCGAATAACCCTTCCAATTCCATACTGCAATGATACGAAAGACAGAGTCCTTGAGTTCAAGCTAACACCAACAATTACAAAGTTATCAAACAATATAGCAAAACCGTGCATAACAGGTTCATAGACAAAAAGATTTGGCAAAAATGATGAACATTTCTACTATGGAAACTCCCTTCACATTATTTGTATTCAATAATTTGAGGGGGAAGACTCACATAGAACAGTTACATTCGCTCCGATGCTCCTTTCAATCGGATAATCAAGGAGGTGAGTCACTTCACCCTGCCTTTGGATTCCATGTTTCCGGCCAGAAAGATGAGGACATAGAATAAGGAATTAAAGGCTGTCAAACTTTGTTTTTGCTACAGTAATGATCTACGATCTGATTCTTTCCCTTGTGAATCACTCCATCTTAATGCTAAGTCCTAGACTATATTCAAAGATTGAAGCTTTATAGATGTCATTGGACAATTGCATAGAAGCAATTAACTACTCCAAATTAATCAAATGCAAAAAAAACTACCGTAAAAATGATGATAAAATACAGCTTCCTAACCACTCAACATCAACCAAATTAATGCATAAAGCAACATAATCAACAACACTCATCAATCCCTTGAGACATAAATTGAAAAGATCATCACTTTCATTTCTTGACAACCCAACAACATGTTAAGATTCTGACATGTAAACCCGATAAGACAAAAGGTAATGAATAGGATAAAATAAGAAATGAGACACATAAGAATTTACGTGATTCATCCAATTTGGGTTACGTCAACAAGCAAGTATAAAAGGATTTTACTAAGTAATATGAGAATCGCAACCTCTCAGGTAATAGGAGAACAATTAAAATCTTTCTATTATTAGGAGAAAACACCTCACTTACTCTCTCACAAATACCTTAGAATTTTGTGAGATTACTCTCTCTTCTCTCTACTCTTCACTTCTCTTCTTTGATGTGAATTATAAATTTGGAGGCATTGACTATTTATAGAAAGAGTGAGGGGACAAAGGCCATAAATTATAGTATAAATTATACCAACAATTCATCTCCACTAATTTTTTATCTACCTTTAATTTTGTCTTCCACTAATTTTATCTTCCATTAAATTAATGAATATACTTAAATTAATTAAGTATTAGCCTTACACAACACAGTTAAGATAACTAAGCACAAGAACTTGAAGAAATGAACAAACCAATTTGATGAACTGCTGTGTTCGCACCAACTGACCGTTATTAACTGAATAATCACTTGAAAAAGAATGTACAAAAAGCCCATTTCAAAGTTTTGAACTTTATTGAGAAACAGTGCTGAAGTTACTGTGAAAAAGGAAATGACATGTGAAAGGGAGAGAGAGGAGTACTAGAGATGACACTGTTGTAATAAAATGTGGTAATAATTGTTTATGAAAATATATTAAAACAATATTTTTTTTATTTTTAAGAATTTACTTTTAATATTATTACATTAAATTAATTTAATAATATCAAAAATTAAATTTAAAATAAAAATATTTTAAATTTTAAAGGTAGAGAGAGGAGTATTTAGATTTTCTTTCAAATCCTATAATTCACCTCTCAAATTTGAATTAAATTTAATGAGGTTAATATTTAATTTAATTTTAGTTTCAAATTATAAATTTTTAAATTAACTTATGAGTTGGGATTAGGTATTTAAATATTATGATCTAAATAATTTAAATTAGATGTTTTCTTCTTCTCCTTCTTTTTCTTTTTAAAATATAAAACAAGTTTATAGGTGATATAAGGTCATATTTGTTTTTCTATTTAAAAAATATTTTAGAAAAAGTTTGAAAAAAATTTTAATTAATATTTTTTATTATTTTTAAATAATTATAATATATAAATATTAAAAATATTTTTTAAAAAATAAGGAATATATTATTATAATAAATTTTTAAATAAATAAAAAATATTTTAAAACACAAAAACATTTACCACATTGATGAAACTCAAAGTACATGTGGGCCTCCCTTCATAAGATTGGAAAGTACAGTGAAGAATTATTAGTGTTATAGATGGAGAAGGCTTGTATTTACAGGGGGGGGATCGGTACGAGCAAATAATGATTGCCTTTTGCGTTATCGATCTACACGTGTCGTGCCCTTTCCAAGGCACGCATTCTTCACATGTTTAAAGGACATATTCGGAAATTGGGTATTTTGGCATCCAGGCTTGACCCGTGGATCCCAGGAGCAGCAAAGCGCACATGGAGGTGTTTGATGCGTGGTTATTTTAAAGGTGATGGTTGAGATTCGAGGATGGGATTTATCAGAAAAGCTAAAAAAATAAAAATAAAAATAATTTTTTACAGTAGAGTTTTGTATATAATTAAATTATTTATTATTATAATTTTAATTATAAAAACTAAAAATACCCTTGATGTATTGTTTCTTTGTGTTTGCCTCAGTTAAAAAAAATTAGAAAATGTAAGATTGAAGCTTTAAGTTTCTATTTAATTCTAGATTTAGTTCTAGATTTATTTATATAATTTTAAATTTATATTATAGATTTATATAAGTATTAATATAAGTAAATTTATTTTCACATGGATATTGTTTTAACTCAAAAGTAAATAATTAAAACAAGTTAAATATAAAATAAATTAAATAACTTAAAATAAAAAAGGAATACTTACAGGATAAGTTCTATCCGTTAAGTAAGCAAGGATGTGTTTTCCCCTTTCATATAATGAATGTTCTCTATTAAAATCGAAACGTGATGAACAAAAAAGACAAGGTTTTAAGTAAATACATAAATAATGTTGTTCACAATTATTTATAGAAAAATAATCAACGGTGTATTGACATTAATTAACGTTTAGCAAACATGATTTTGTCAAAAATAAGTTTCGATTCGAACTCAAAACCTTAAGATTCAAACTTATTAAAGTGTGTTATTAATATATAAAAATCATAGATTATTTAATAATAATGGCATGCGAACTTGCACAAACCAGCACTGAACTAAAACGGGTTCTAAAACTAACATCTAAAGTCATGTTTCTATGTTGAATATTATGGTCACACACCCATAAATAAGACAAACAGACTAAAAACCTAGAAAACATCCATTCGATCTCTATAACATGTAATTTTAGCCTCAACAAAACACATCATCAAAACTAAACCTATTTGGATCTTAAATAAACAAAAGAATAACATCAAATTATTATTCTTGATACACGAAATGCAAACTTTGAAGATGTGAAGTTAAAATAGAGTTTAATTATGCAAAACTTAGATTCAAACCAAACACATCACACAACAACTTAAACACAACCAAGAAAAAAAATATTCTTCAAAAAAAACTTAAAACGAGTGTAATAATAACCATTCAAAACTAGTATGTAAAGAATTCACCTCTCCATTCTGTTAAGCATTCTTTTTATCCTTTTTTTTGTCAATTTTTCTTTTTTTTTAGGTCCCTAACAAACTACGGGACCTTCTAGAAAGGATTGGCAAAAAGATTTAAAATTGGTCTAAAAAATAGCTAATTGAAAGTGTCTTATTTTTTTATTTAAGCGTGGTTCATGCGAGGTTATTGGAGAAAAATCAACCATGAATATTATAGAGTTAGACAGAAAACTATCAAAAATTTTAAACGAGTCAAAGCTAACTTGGAACAAGAAGTTAAAGGTTTCCACATGGCAACTTAGGTATAAATATGGAACAAGGGTGGAACCACAGTGAAAAGGGGAAACTTCCATGTTGATCAGTGGTGGTTAGAGCCGAAGAGGTTGTTAGAATTTCCAATTTTATTAAACTTTCAAATTAAGATTTGGCAAATTTCAAATTAAGTCTTTGTCATTTTGATTTCATTACTTGTACCCTTAATTAGCCTTTAAACTTTTAATTTAATATGTGCAATCATGTCCCTGATAAATTCAAATTACCTCCTCTTATTAGAACATTTTTTTTTTCAAATTGTTTCTTGGTTTTCAAATTGTCCAATTTGATCACTAATAAATGCCAAACTTTCAATTTCTTTTAAATTGGTCCTTGCCCTGATCAAGTTAGGTCCCTAACATTGCGCGTGTTTTACAGATTAGTTCTTGGTCATGAAAATCTTTAATTTTAACCCTTCAAAAATGATTAAACTTTTAATTTTTTGCAATTGAACCCCTAATTATATCAATTTAGCCCCTCAAAGTTTTAATTGAGCCCATATTCTTTCAATCTATACGGATTGACTTGAATTCAGCCCTAAAAAATTTATTTTTTTAACAATTAAGTCCTTGATTTAAACCTTTGAAACCAGTGAGGAATTTAATTAAGTCCTTGAACTCAAGTAGTTCTTCTAATCTTAATCAAATTAACCTTTAAAATTATTTACTTTTTAATTAACTCCTTAATTGGATCAAACTAACCTATTAAAAGTTTAATCAAGTTCTTAAACTTAATTAATTCTTGTAATTTTAGTAAAAAAAAAAATGATTCCAATCTTATTTTGTTTCAAGTTCAATATTTCTTCACTTTATTCTTAGAATATCCCAATATTGTCAGCTTTCTAACTTCTTGATCTTCTATGGTTTCTAGCTTGTCTCCTTGTGTTTTGAATTGTTGTTGATGTTATTAATATATTTTTTTAATGAATAAAAGTAAAATAGTAAAAAGATGTGTGTACATGAAAAAAGATAATTTTGGAGATCTCAAAATTGGTTTATGACAACATTCATGAAGTGAAACTCTTGGATAATAAAATATTTTTTTAATATTTTTGGTTTATAAAATTAAAATTATAAATCTACCGATTCCAAAAGAAAATTATAAATCTATTTGATTATTGTCTACTATTATATCATTTGTAGAGTGAAATTAATAGATCTACAATGCAGCGATCAAAGGTTTTTTTATTTAACGGTTGATATGATGATCTTCCCTGCAATCCATCTTATATAATGACGTCAATGGCCGACTTCCCCTCACCTTTCAGGGTTCTCCACTAATTGCATGTTAACTGCTGATAACCTCCTGTCTTCTAGAGTTTTTTCCACAATCTCACATTTGTAATAAGTGGCTTATTATATATATGATTGTAGAATTAATTATGTGTGCATGTTCCCCTTTTTTTATATGATAGTAACTCTTATTTTCTGAGTTTCTTACAATTAATCTAATTATGATATAGTTATCGTATAAATCTATTTCCCATTAAGATTTATAGTATAACATAAGGCACACCAGACGTTTATCCATGGATGATGCTCAGGGATATTAACAGACACTGGTTTCAAAATTGCAGGCCATTGACCCTTTGGCTGACACGCATTAGGGAATCTGTAGTGATGGCAAAGGAAAGGTTGGTTTGTTCAACAAAATCTGACCATTTCACCTTAGAACGTTTGGTTAGCCCCTGCTGTCAATTACCTGCTTAGCCAGTACGCCCACCAAAATTATTAACAAATCTACTGGTCAAATTCAGCCAAAACATACCAATTTCCCCTCGTATAAGGCCCATTTTGCCTGGCTTGTAGACATGGAAACCTACAGGTGTACCAGTACTGTGCTTCATTCTTCATACAAAATGAGAATATTTAATTTGAAAATCAGAACTCTGATACTTTCTAACATGGAAAACGCAAGAATTCTCAGCGTCTTCTTTCTCTACATAAAAACATTTTCATCATGCATGATCCCATTTGATCGTTGTTCCATCCTTTACCAAAATGCATGTCACAAAAAGCTTCGGATCTTTCCATTGCCTTCATTTAAATGGTCGATTTTCACGGTATACCCAGGTAAGCTACTCCTTCATGGCTAGCTCCTCCTAATTACCTCTTGTTATTGTTCTTGGTCCATTTCTTGCTTTTTCTCATGCTTGTCTCGGTTGTTATAAAAAAAAAATTAGTTAACAAATATCAATGGAACTGTTTTGTAATTTTGATAGCTATTCAAGGATGTTATATTTCATGAAGAATTTGCTTATTTCATGTGTTTTCTCATATATATGGCCTTCCTTGTTTCTGATAGAGGCAACTTCGTTTTCCATGTTAAAGCACTCTTGCCCAGGGGGTCTGTCATGACATAAATGAAGGCATCAGCATGAACATGTTGGTGTTTTATTTCTTTTCATCTTGTTATATATTAAACCATCAACTTCTGGCAAAAAAAGAGTTCGAATCATCAAAAGAATGTTGCACTGATCAATTGAAGAAGGAAGATTAGCAAAACTATTATGATGATCAAACTTTTATCTAGTTTAACCGATTGTATTATAATAAGCTTTGTTGGAGTGGATAGTATTGTACATAGATGGCCAAGAAGGCTAGGTTGCAGAAGCCCAATATATAGGTCTACTCCGTGCCTGTGTACCGTATGATTTAAGTTAGTATATTTGAGTTTACGGTTTGAAAAATAAAATAATTCCCCATATATCTTGTACGACATTAGAAATTTTATGTGGGACATTCTTCCTATTAGAAAATTTAAAAAATGTATCCAAAACCATGCGCAGGCCCCCCAAAACCACCCCATCAATAAGAACACCCACTATATATACATGTCTGCGCCCGCGTGTGTATACATACATGTATATATACATAACTAATATTGCTGGGTGTCCTTGCAAAGTTTGGATAACAGAAGTTATAGAAGGAAATGAAGGGTCAACCTCTGCATATGCTTCATAACTCGCTTTTAACTCATATGGGGGCAACAAGTCAACCAACCAGCTACCAATCCGATGCTGTAATAGATGACTGGTAGTTAGAGTGGAGGGTCAGATATGAGTCTTGTGGATATTTAGGTCAGATGATTATGGCCTGAAGATCTAACAATAACTACTATAAATTAAGCTCCTGTAACTATTCAAATTTAGTAAAGGTATGCTCTGTGTGTGTGTGTTCTCCTTCTGCCCATATTTTATAAATATGTAAATGCCAATATCATCTTTGAGGTATCTTGAAGTCACAATATGCAATCGACCAAAAGTTTGAACATGGTCCCCTCAGAATTTTTCAATTTCCCATTATAGTCTTTAATTCTTAACTTATTTATTTTTTACTTATTTTTATTTTTGAAGTAGTAATGGTTGTTTTTTAAATTATTTTTTACTTGAAAATATATTAAAATAATATCTTTTTATATATTTAAAAATCATTTATGACATTAACATATAAAAAAGATCCAAAAATTAAATAAAAAAATTTAAATTTAACTAAAATACGATTTGAATTTCAATTTTAAATAGTATTTCTTTAACGTATCCCTAAAAGAATATATGTTTTATTGAACTCCCATCTACTTTGTCATCCAAGAAAGTAATTGATTCACCATCGGCTACTATTTTATGATTAATTTTATTTTTTTATTAATATTAATGTTCGGATCAGCTTATATATATCTCGACTAATTCTACAGTTTATGAAATTTACTATTATATAAGTTTTTAGTAGTCATCGTATTAGCAACTACGAGCTTAAATTATTTTATAAATAGTTTTTAATTAAAATAATTAGTATTGTTCATATCTTTTTATTATTATTATTTATTTAAGGAAAGTCCATCTTTGAGCTGTGAATACTGTGCTCTACTACTAGCTAGTGGATTAATGCAAGGTTGTTAGAGTAATATAATTGCTAATGGTTCTGACTGTTAGTTATATGCATCTTCCTACATATTTAAAACGGAGAGGCTAAGTCGTCCATTTGTTGGGGTTTTATAAGAAAATTATGTTTAAAGTCGACGGAGAGGGGGTAGGAATATGAATCAAACTATCAGTCAAGATCGATACTGTGAGGTGGAATTCTAATTAAGAATGATTTTATATTATTCTTTAATGTATATTTTTAAATAAAAATCTTTCGGAGTGGAGATTTGCGATCGTAATTGTTTATTGTCAAAGCTTTTATATTATTTCAAAATATTAATTGAATTCGAAACCTAGTTTGAATGTTAGCAGAGAGAAGACGCAGAAACTGACCTTGGGATTGGTTGTTAGCTAGGAAACAAATGAGATTTCGGTTAAGCTCGGACTGGACAAAAGACCCATATCCTCGAGCCCATGACAATCCAAGAGAGGTAGACTACAGACTGCTGGCCCTATTACAAATCTAAGTTCAGTGTTGGGTTCTTGGTTTGCTTTTAATGCATGGAATTTACTTGACTAAAACTCCTTGAGAAAACAGACATGCATGGCTGCATCATATATTAATTGGCTGAATTCTTACAATCTTTTTACCTGCGTACTGCAGCTAGGTTTCTTGATGTTTTTCAGGAGGCTGAATTTGCAACCACATGTGATGTACTGTCGAGACAATTGAATGTAGAGGGCAACGTTTATGCACCATGTCTGTCTACCCGATGTGCGACTAGTAAGTGTTTTCTCCAACCAAGATAGTTACGTATATTATAAAAAATAACGTGTGGGGATATCTTCCTATCAATATTTAAATTAAGTATCTTCAATCTCTTTAAGAAATCTCAAAGATATCATCAAGACATTTTATAATAAGATCTCATGTATTTATATGATCCATCATTTAACTTATTCAGTGCTGGGAAAGTGGGTTGCATGCACCGCATGTAGCTTTGTCCACATTCCCAAACATGTCCTCATGTTCATTGATCTTTGGCAATATTATAAACCTAAATTATATTTCCTTCATCTGTACATTACATTCGACTGAACAACTAATCACATGCATGTACTGAAAGCATTCTCTGTAGAATTAAGGACTCTACCTCGTATGATCATATATATCCTAGCTTAAGGATCTTGTGTGAATTTGATATGGAACATCAAATCACATGTCTGTTAATTAAAAGGATGCATAGTTTGTAACCTTAAAGCCCTCGTTTTCATTCAATTGTTAGAAAATTTGTGCTCTTATATGAAATCTGAATGAGTTAGACAATATATAAGACATAGGAAAGTTTAGAATGCCTAGAGAATATCAAACAATCAAAATTAACATGTTAATTCTTAATTTTCGTAGAAAAAATTACGTGGTATGTACAATAGTATATGGCATATGCAGATAGTAGTCTTAAATACATGTTATATATAGGCCACATGTATTAGTACACACCAAATGCCTCATGTGCATGCACAGAACGTCAAGCAATTTTCAGATACAATCAGACTGAAGTAGGATATATATGTCAAATTAAGGTGCGTAGAAAGTAGAGGATCACATGAGTCTGCATGCATGGGAAGCCCAATCACCATGTATTTAACTTTTGCAGGTTGCAAGCGTACAATATTACTCATTTATAGCATCAGTAGTTGATAGGTGAGCGGGAAGTGTGATTGCATGCATAAATGCATAATGCTGCGATGTCACTGATGAACTTGGTCTGAAATAGAAGCTGGCTAGCTCTAGCCTTCTCTGATTACGTTCACAATAAACTTCGTAGTCTTGCTTTTCATGATCCTAAAATAGTCCATTCCAAATTAGTTTCAGAATTTCAAAAACTTGTGTTTGATTATTGTATAAAACAAAAAAAAGAAAATATAAAATAATTTTTTCAAAAATTTTGAAGTTAATCTATATATCTTTTCTACTCTAAAACAAGAAATACAAGAAATTATAAAACAATAAATACAAGAAAATGCTACCCAGGTGATGAGACGAATCTAACGAGTGGTAGATCTTACACGCATGAGTCATGTGTAACATGACTCTAAACTTTGGTAATATTCTTAAATGGGAGACTATCGTACGTGTTCTCATAGTGATATTAATTACTCGAGCGAGAATAATTGTCTTTTCTTCCATCATATTAATTAACAATCATCGTCCTGTAACCGCCAAAACAAATCAAAAACAATCCTCTTTTGCCTTTTTGGAGTCTTCATGTTCTTAGCATTAGGTGAATTTGCATTACCTTTCATCAACCATTGTAGATGGTACTGAACAATATACAACCTCAAAAACCAAGTTACGAGGTTTTTAGACTTATTAATGTATCTTTTTTTGAACAAAACACCTACAAAAGGGTTCTTGATAATATGTAACCATGCTTGCATGGAAAGCTCTACAAACACCAGGTTCTCTCTCAAGTTCTCATCATTCCAGAGAAGGTAACAGCTTTAATTACTATCATTGAGCATCTCATAGCAATTACTTATAGTGTCCAACATTCGCTTATGGTTCTATCGTCGAACCAATATGCAAAAAAGTTCAAGTACATATCTTAGTAACTTGTTTGGAGGTTGGATTTGTGAACCTAGCTAATTACAGTTTTTGATGAGAGATTGGGAGTTTCAAGGTTCAAATACCTAGATTCCTGTTTAAATGAAGCTCGAGCTGCATGACTGATTTAACAATAGTAATTATAACTTTATAAATCATTATATATACTTCTATCTTCACATGCATATACGAAGGGATAGATGCTGTGGTGAATAATATTCTTGAACTCCTTCCCTTAATTCTCCGATATAAGTTTAGTTACTACATTTGAAATTATGGCATGTTTATTTTTATTTTTTATCCATCTATCTGTGAATCAACAAAAAATTGACGTCTAAAAATCAGGAAATGGAAAATATTACAATATAAAATCCCCTCATATTTAGCATAACATCTAAGAAGTAGGATCCATGGATAATGAAAATATTTCTTTGAAGTACGTGCCTTTTCTTTTCTTTGATTTGAACAATAATTGGTAGAACAACAGTGTCCGTTTGACAAAACAGTGCAGCACGTACGGTTGCACCTATGTTTCACCAGAGTATATTTTTTTATACCATCTCTATTTGATTTCAAGAGAGATTTGATACAAGCTGACTTTGCAATCATAAGAACTATAATTAGGAAATGAAAGATATCCACATGCACACAAATCTATAATATCATACATTGTGAATTTAGCCCGAGATTTTGGATACAAGAACAAATTATTCATTCATGTTCTTAAAAATACAACACAACAGCAAAAGATAAACGGGATGCTGATGTAGAACAATAACAGTAGATAGAGTTAATACATAATTAACAAACCAAATCCTGGCATTTTTTTTTATGTTTTTGTAAACTGATTACCAGCTGTAATTCCATAGCTTAATAGAAGCATAGATGACTATGATAGACTACTCAACATGGTCATGATAAACCCTATTTGGAATCATTTTGGTTAAAAGCAGAAGACATGAGAGTAGATTCCCAGCCAGTTCCGAGTCCAAATGTTGTGGCAGCAATTGAAACAAAAGGATCTGAGCTGGGTGGTGCACAATTCACATTAGGCACATTAAGGATTTGGTGTTGTTGCAAAGCCTCCTCGTCTATGAGTGAATTGAGGAACGAAAACACATCGTCGATGCCGGAATTGATATCTTGATCAGCTTCTACAATACCAAGCCTTTGATCTCCTCTCAAATCCATCCCAGAAGTACCATCGTAATTCAGCAAACTTGTATAGCCATGACTTGCAATAAAATAGTCGGCGTGATACTGATCATCCAGGTGGGCATTACTGTTGTTTTGAAAATACTCATTCTCTCTGTTGATTATGCGAGTACTGCCACTAGTAGCTTCTTCCAAACCAGAAGAAACAATATTCTTAATAGGTTCTTTTAGGCGTGCTTGGTGCAGATTCGCCTTCGACAAAGAAGGTTTTGATTGATCAAAAGATTGAGGATTGAGAGGCTTATGGGTTCTTGGATCAATTCCTTGGCTTATCAGCTTCTTACTCAGGTGCGTGTTCCAGTAATTCTTTATTTCATTATCTGTACGCCCTGGAATTCTCCCAGCTATCAATGACCACCTAAAGAAACAACCCATTGACCAAATCAACACAAGTAGCTAGTCCAAGCTAAGATCGATCTAGCTAAAATTTCTTCGAAGTAAAGTGATATATATTTCTTTTCTAGCTCAAATCTTCAACGAAGAAGAAGGTGAAATTTAAGAACGCGGATCGTTTACAAGATTCAAGTACATGATTCATTGTGAACCAGATTCATGCAGGTTTCGAGCTAAACTAGCTATAAACTAAATGAAGAGAGAGCTCACGTAAATTATATATGGATCAAAACCAGCTGGAATGTTAATTGACCAAACTCTAATAAGAACAAAAAAAGTGAAGGAAATCTCTTTCACGAGCAACCCACAACATATATACAGTGAAACCCTAAACCTAGCTAGCTAGACTAACTAAACCAAAAAAACAAAACCCCAAAAGAAAGAGACCCAATTCAGAGAAAAGGAATTTAAGACAAACCCAGAAAAAGATTGTATTAAAAAAAGACTAAAAACAAAATTAACTGATGCAAATATTTGTATTTGTCTTAATTCCTGTGTGGGATATATAGAACATGTAATTACCTATTGCCTAGGAGTCGATGGAGGCGGAGAATGAGATCTTCTTCATCATCGGCGATCTGGCCACGTTTAACAGAAGGGCGGAGGTAGTTCATCCAGCGGAGACGGCAGCTCTTGCCACAGCGGAGGAGACCGGCTTTCTTGGGTAAAGTTCGCCACCGACCTTCACCTTCTTTCTTGATATAGTTAACAAGGAGTTCATCTTCCTCTGGTGTCCACGGTCCTCTCTTTAACCCTACCTTGATGCAGCATGGGGTGGTCTTTGCTGCTGATTCTGCTGTTGTAGCTGAAGTTGGTTTTCTCATCTTGATTAATATTTTATTGGAAGTGCTCGATACATCGATATATTGGATTCAGCTAAGCTTTATCTTACCTACCTTTTTCTTGTTTTCTTTCTATATTTGTTTTTTGAGTTGTGGTAATATCTAGGATGCTGTATATGTGTACATTTAGAATGTTGTGTGATGATGATATGATGAGCATGAGGGTTGATGGATAGAAAGGAGGAGGATGAGGGTAGGGTACGGTAGGGTAGGGGCTCTTCTCCCTTCTTCTTCTTCTTCTTCTTTTTGTGTTGAGAGTGATTTCTTCTTGGGATCAGACGGTGTAAGGTTTGTTGGGTCTAATGTGGAGCAGTAAAGACACTGATAAATAGGCAATCGCCTTATAAGGGGAGTGCACGTGACGACACCCTATTCATCCATCCATTCAATTTCATCTTTAGAATTGTCATTCATTTGATATGATATGATTTTCAATTTTTATTTATGTGTTTACTTGCATATTAATACAATCAACAAATTAAACGGGATGTTTGCTTAATTTGATGTTGGCTGCATTATTAGGGTTAAAAAAAATTAAATTGCCAAATTAGAATTAATGATCAATTAATGATGATTTGTTAGAAGTATGGGATGCAGAATCAGATTAAATCTTAAGCTTGTTTTTCTATAAAAAAAAATAATTAATTATGCTAGAGGATGAATTTAAATTTCTTAATTGGAGATGGAAAGCTTTTTATTTAAATTATGAATGGATAAAGATTTTAGTAACGAATGGATAATATTTGCTATTGTACTATATGTAAGATATTAATTATTACTATCCACTTTCAACAAATTAATATATTAAAATCTAAATTTATGAGGAAATTCAAATATGTCATATGGATTGTACAAAAATAAATGGCAAAGAAACATATAAAGGTAGAGTTATCAACAAACCATATATTATTACCATCAGAGTCCTAAAGCTTTGTTCCATGACATTTTCTTTTAATTAATAACTATAAAAGCTAGTAAATTTTTTATTAATTAATTTAGATATTTAAATTAATTTATCCATATCTTAATTAATTTTATATATTTTAAAATTAACATCCATAAAAATCTCTAGTGATCCTAATATTTTTGAAACTCAAATTAATAACCTATTAAAAATATAAATTTGGAACCTCAACAGTTAAACTACCTTTTTAAAATTAAGCTAGCAGATTCTTTTCTTGAATAGATCAAGGAGAGAAGGGATTGTTTTTGAAAAACTTGAGTTTTTTTTTTTTTGTTAATTTGTTTGTTTTTCATAGCATCGAGAGTCGGAGAGAGTGCATGTGCATGCGCGCGTGGGGCTGTAATAGTTTCAAGAAGGAGGAAGTAGAGCCGAGAATGGAGCCCGCACAGGCTCACTCAGCTTTAGGAGTTAGGAATGAGGCGCGCACGTGATACCCACTATTCTCCTTTGAGTTTCTGCTACAGAAGTTCTGGTAGCTCACTAACTGAGTGATGTTTGCATCTACATAAATTTAGGTTACCATCAACATCCTTCTTCTAACCATAGTTCTCTGCTAAAGGGTTTGAGGTTGATTTTATATATATCAAAACATTGTATTTTATTTTTTAAGAAACTATATATTTTTTTTATCCAGTCATGTTGGAACCAAATTAATTAGATAATGGATGAACCTGCTACGTCATATAAATTTGATTTGATTTGATCAATATCAAAATCAAAATCAAATTCAAACAAAGTGAAAAGATCGACACCGCTAGATGAATTTCTAAGAATAATTTTACATTCAAATCACTCCCCACAGGTTTCTATCAAGTTGTCGGCTGCAATATTAGGACGGGGTTCTGCCTTGGTTTGAAAAGCTGCATTTGTTTGATGCGCACATGCTACCTACGACAAGAGTCTTTCCACCATGGGAAGCCTGTCAAAGGTCATATGTATTCTGGAACCAGCTAGCTTTTTTAAATTTCTGACAAACACGACAATTTCAATTACGAAGGACGGTGACTCGAGAGCTGACAACTACAAGAAATTATCCAGTTACGCTTTTCCAAAGAAATTAAGATAAGATACCCAACTTAGAGATTTTCTGCCATCAAACATTCAAAATTAAACACCCTTTCTCTCTGAGACCTAACCCAGGAATTCACCTGGCGGGCAAGTTAACCCACGGGTCATCAATCAACACCAACTATATTTAAAAAAAAAAAACTTAAAATGATTTTATTTTGATTAAAAAACAAAACAGTTTTGAATAAATCTCAACTCAAATTAGATTTCAAGGTCAAGGATTGACCCTCGGTTTTCTGACTGCTATTTTACTTTACAAGATGGCCTCATTTCAGTTTAAAAGTCCAGAGAGTTGGTCCAACTATACATTGAACCCAGCCTCCTATCAAACAAAAATATTGGGCCTACCCGACACAAGAAATTGAATAAAAGCCGCAGTCGACAAAAAATATGGGGACAGACATTCAATTCTGTTTTTGTTTTTTTGTTACCAAGGAAGAACTTGAACCCAAGACATCCTCTTCAGGGAGAGGGATCGTGGGTGTGAGTTGTGAGCACTTGAGCTACAATAAAGGAAAACACCTGAGGAACACACAGGCGCACGTAATGCAGGATTCACACACTCATGTTTCTAGCAAAAGAAGGAATCCTCGTCGCATACCAGTGAACATGAAGGCCCTAAACTGTTTGAGTAAGGTGGAAGAGTTTGGTTATATTGATAATACAATCACACTATCAAAAGAATGCTCAAGAAAACATATACCTTACAAATATGAAAGGATTTCCCATTAGATAAGAATGGGGGCGCTTCTACATGTAAATGTCAGAAAAAGCTAATCTTTGAGTTTGTTATGTCGACATGGTTTCCGATCTTATATACTTGTACTTCTGTTCCTGGTTGAACCATCTTGCAGTTCTTGTCAAGCCTTCAAATAAGATGCACCTTAATGCAACAACCCCCTCTGGTAAGGCAGCATCAATCTTGTCCAACAAGCACACAACACCATGAGGAATGAAAAGATTGCATTCTAACTAGAAAAATGTGTATGAACCCATGACGAGCAGATACATATAAGCCAAATCCAAATGAACCTTATTATTGAAAAATCGGAACTACAAACTTACTCGTTCTTGAGCTGTTGCATTGAACTTCTGCAGCAAGAAAGCCTTGGGATCCATTTGGCCAGGAGGCCTCCCAATTCCTAAGAAGAACGATAAGAGATTTGGCCTTTAGAAGTTAGGAAGCAAATAAATGCCAACTGAGGTTTCACACTAACCAATTCTTAGTCGAGCAAATTCTCTGTTCCCTCGAAAATGGTTGATCACACTCTTCAAACTGGTTAACGAAAAGGAATAAAACATTATGCTCACACAATACCTCCAAAAGCACAAAAAATGTTTGGAAAAATAAAATAAAACAGGGGTTAACCCTGAGCCATAAAAGGTCCACTGCTAATGCGGCCTACTGTAGTCACATCAACAGCAACATCAATATTGGCTGAGGAACCAGACTAAAAGCCTTAGTTAGGACTTAAAACTACTGCAGGAGCGCAAGAAATAATAAAAAACAAAAAAATTGCAAACAAATATTATTTCAAATGTACAAAGGGCATGGCTTTATCACTCCATGATACTCTGTCCATCATTTCATTTTTAATTGAATTCTTGGAGGTTGCACTGACAGAGTGTTCATCAAGCATTTCTATTTATCTCAAACATGCTCTTTCAGTAAGAAATCGTACATTCTTTAAACAACTATCTGCAAATTCTAATCATGGGAATAAATACACAAGACTCCACGGTCCATACCCTCTGTGGCATCCATGACCTCCTTTCTCTTGAAGTCGAAGCACTCCACATGGCAACTCCATGTCGTCATGAAACTATAGTTGCACAACTTAGACAACATCAGTAAAGAAAAAACTTACATCATCCTTCAGTACCCAGTAAAGGGAAGAATAGAGGATAATGAGAGCAAACTTACCACAATAACACGATTAAGAGGTAGCTTATAGTAAGCAGCTAGCGGTCCTGCCTGCATTTGAACAGAAAAAAATATACTACAAGTTATTTGAAGATTAATTAAAGCAATATCCATCAAAATTGAACCTTTTTTTTAATTTATATTAAAGCAATATCCATCAAAATTGAACCCTTTTTTTAATTTATACCATGGAACAAGAAAATTATGTGAATGATTCACTTACTGATTCACCACTCAGATTCATGTAAGTTTGAGGCTTCGCAAGAAGAACAGGTGCGTCACCAACAAACCCTGAAATTATCAAACCTGTATTAGTACTTCCACATAAATAAAGTCCGTATCTTTTACAAAAAGAAGCAACGAAATGAACCACTAGGACGTGCTTTGGTACAAAACCACCTTCTCCAAAAAGAGCTTTACATAGAGGTATGTTCATAGAAATCCCTAGTGACTCAGCAAATGCATCAATCATCTCAAAACCCACCTGCATCCATCCAAGTTTGAGTCAAAAAAATAGTAAAAGAAGCTAAATCTCATCGGGGTTCTTCGAGATTTTGATACATGCATTGTGTCGGGTTCCTTTGAATTTCTCGCCGGGATTTCCCAACCCAACAAAGAGCCAAGGCGATAGTGTTGTGGGAGCAGCAGCAGCAGTGCAAAAGCAGCGCCTTGAGACTCTATTCAACATCTCTCTTCATAAAGGAGTGTCGTGTCCTTTAAATTTGTTTTGCTTTGCGTTTAGAGAAATGGAAAAGAGTGGTGAGACAAATTCGTTTAGGCAAATTGTTGAACAGTTGGTATGCACTTTGGTTAACCGCAAAGATAAGAACCAACAAAAACTCGAGAAAGGAAGATCTTGAGAAAACGAGGTCGAAACTGCAGATACAAAAGCCGGTTAATTTATCGGTCACAGGAGAAGAAGACGGTTGCGTTCGAAGAGAGAGGGAGGGAGGAAGCCCGGCCCTAACTTCGTTGATTCTTTGCCCTTCTGCAATAGAGACCAAGAGGCATGCCTGCCATTTTATGCCTGCGGTAGAACGCACCGTTTCCTCTCAATCAAATTCCCGCTCTCCCTTCTATCCAATCCTTTATTTATTTATTTTCTGTCTCATTCTAAAATCTCTATACAATGGAGGTCTTCAGTCCATTTATATTGAAATTAATAAAATTAGACTGATTGAGACTCAAATCTACTTCGATAAATAAATACCACTATTGGATACACACTCCTTAAATCAACTATATATTAATCAATACACTATATATTAATTAATACTTAAAAAAAATGATAAAAATATTGTAGGTTTATCCATAGTTTTTAACTGTTTTTACTATTAATATATTATATTATATTAAAATATATCCTAAAAAGTAATGTAGCTATTTTTTTTCTAATGATTTTTTTTTGTTTCTGTTTAGTTTATTAATGTTTTATTTTGTT